TGATTATTATTATTGATAAAGATAGTGAGAGATCTCATAATAGAATTCAGTTACAATAAGCGTTATCTTAAAACTAACCACAATATTTTTAACAAAATACCTATAGAGAAAGCGTCAAAAATACTTTAATCTAAAAGATAAGAACCAAAATCTTTCTACAAATTTGTACGGTATTCGGTCCAATAATGGGAAAAATGAATTCCTTTAAGAAGTGTTATTTCTTTTCACTTGCTTATTGCTTTCTTAAGATTTTCAAAACAGCTTTTAGCAAGGAAATAGTTCTAAGCTAGACAAAACATTTATGTTGCAAACTATTTTGGGTACATTTCGCGACACACACACACACATATATACCTTTTTTCCTTAAAGTATATATATATTAGAGATGAGCTGAACATGAGACGAACATAAACTGCGCAGAGGAGAATAATTAAAAAAGATTACACTACGTTCAGGCTAATAAGTTGTGCTGTGGAAGAGAATACTAATGATGTCATTACATCTGGACTACTGAAGGATCAAATTTCATGTTTATGATAACCCGTGCCGAAGCCTTCTCTTTTCTAAGAATTATGGGCCGAGTCCACTCAGGCCTAAAGAATTTCAATCCGAGTAAAACCCGAGTCAGAGATACATCGATTAACTTGAATCCCGAGTCTGTCCGAGCCCGAGATATAAGTCAGATAAACGCCAAATTATACTGTCTCGTAACTTGATGTGTAAACTAGTGTGTATCAGTAAATTAAAACCTTTTCTATCGCTAACCTATGAAAAAAAAGAGAAGAGGAAAACTGAACCAATTAAAACTCCAAGATGAATAATTCAAAAATTAAAAATTAAAATAATTAGCTAAATGAAAATTAGCGCTAGCCTCATAAAGCAAAAATAAAGCAAAACAGAAGTATGAGGGAGCTGCAAATTTTTATACCTTATATATTTAAAAAAATTTATACTCAATAACTCAACTAAACGTTGGTATAAAAACAGTTAGAAAGTTCATGAACATTTTTTCAAGAATCTGTTTCCGCCCGAGCCCAAAAACTTACGAGTCCGAGCCTGCGTCGGGTGCTGACTGTGTTGGGTCTGAGCCCGTCTCATCTTTAATATACATTTATATGTATGTGCTCTCTGTGTTTATATGTAAGCACGTGAATTTAATATGATACTGCAATCGGTAAATATTTTTAAAAAATATGAAAGATTTGCTAGCTTTCAGTTATAATCGAACAAAAACTAGTTCAATCGCACTTTCTTTTGAATATTTTATCTTTGTTTTTTTTATGTTAGGCTTTTAGAAGAAAAATCAACGTTAATAATTTTGCAACGTATGTGAATGATGTCACCATTGAATTCGTATTCCAAAAGGTGTATGAAACTATAAATTTTTCATGAATATGTTTTCTTTTTTTCTTTTTTTTATTAAAAGGAGAGTTATCCTCGCAGAACAGCATCAAGTCAAATGATATTGAATATTAGTTATCTACATTTCGATTGAATTCAGGTATATACATTAATTCTTAAAATAAAATTTGTTTGTACATCAAATATATACGTAACACAGAGAGAATAATATTCGATTTAGGATAAAAATGTATATTATAAAATCAGTTTTTTCAGTTCGCAGAGATTTAAAAATTTTAATTAATGTAATTATTCGTATTAAAAAACTTATTCTACTTGCCGTTTTTTAATTTTTGAAATTCAAAGCATGCCAACATTGGTGTTTTCAGAAGGGAAAAAATTCTCATATGGTGTGAAAGCGTGATTTTAGGTAAGATTATTCAATTCAGTAAGGTTAAATTACAAGTGTTAGGTTTAATTGTTACTAGGTTTAAATTACACTAACTTATTATTCAATTAAGTTTAAATTACGTTCTGATGTTAAACCGAAATAAAATATTACTTCGCAGAACTTTTTGGATTGTTCAGCATCATATTCAGAGAAATATTACATTGTTGTTCTTCGAGTGTAGGAAATGATTGGCTCGTGCACTTTATTACTTTAAAGGTTAAACACCCTTAAGGTTTACTAATAATAAACCATGTTTCGTCACAATGTGTATTTCCCATGTAACTCTGCCCTTGTCAGAAGAAGTTTTGCGCTTTCTACCTGCAAGAACTTATCATTCGTAATCTGCGCTGTTGGGCATGAAAGTTTATTGGTTGTTTTTATAATTTTGACCTAGCATTTTTTTGCAAAATGTTTTGAACTTTCTTAACATTTTTTGAACGCTTTTTAACTCTTAGTATTTCAATATACTTTAAAGGCAATTAATTGTTCATTAATGATAATCAAGAAATAATTTTTCATATAATTCACTCAGAGCAAAACGATTGATAGTAAATTTTAAAAACTTCCTTCCTATGACTGAAAGAACTACAAAAACAGCAGAGTTTAACTACAATACTGATGGCTATTCGAGAATAATATGCAGATAATACTATATTATAAAAGCTTTAATTCTTTTTGAAGTACTTGCAAAATATTTAAATATATATAAAAAAGAACACACTTTCTTAAGATTCTCATTACGTGAATACTGATTTCTATTTTCTTTTAATCAGAAGTTTTGCCAGATTACCTCTGTGCTAAAAAAGAAAAAAAATCAATTCATGACCTCATTCCTGTGGATTTTTATAAGAAATAATATCTTGAATCCGGAATATAATCCCCGTTTCCCCCTGTTATCCACCGTTTTCTGAGAACTCCCTTCTGATTTTTAGTACTTTTAGATAATTTTACAGTCACGAATTTGATTTGTAATAAGGTAAAAAGATCATTATTCAAAGAGGCTTGAGAGGTGAAAAGTTTAGCAACTAGGTACATTTAAAGAGAGGAGGGAAATTTTGGGGGTATTTGTTCTTTAAAACGATAAACGAAAGGAAAAAGAAAATTTTTTTCGTTGCGTTTTTTAAAAATTCCATCTCTTAGCCTTCTTTTCTTCTCCCAAACTCGTATATTATACAAATACCAATTCATAATTTCGGTTAATTAAAAAGTGATTGTGGGTTATCGAAGTTCGGTCCAAGGATTTCACAAAACTAAGCTAGGAAGAATCTCGATACGTGTTTCACGAACTCTGTTCCACGCTCAATTTAGGCTAAAAGGTGACTGAATATTTTTATTTTTGAAGGAGAGGGTATTAAAATGAGGAAAAGGGGACAAGAAGCTGTAAAATCTTGAAAAAAGTTAAAAAAATCTCCTAAAGGGGTTATTTTAATTATTATTTTTTACAGTTAGCAGAGGAAAATTTTCCTCTTTACAATTTTGTTCCCTTGCTGCAGCTGCTCCATTTTGAAACTTTTCATCCATTTGACTTTCGTAAGAAATTTTACATTTAAAATAATCTCTTTTTTTCCCCATAAAATCAACTTTGTAGCCATAAAATTATCCAAAAGTGCTAAATATCAGCCGTGGTGGCTAAGGGGATTGAGCGTTCACAAATGAGGTGAACCGCTTCCAAATCCCAGTAATGGATAGACGATACGAATTCCACACCTGACTCACACCGACCACAGTGCTGACATGTAATATCCTTAGTCGTAGACGGATTGCGAGTTAGAGTTCCCTTACCGTTAGGCTAACTATGGCAGGTTTTCGTGGTTTTCTGCTCCATGCAACCTCAAATGCGGATTAAATCCACCAAAAAGTCCTCTGCAAGACAAACTTCTTTTAATACTTGATTCAGGAGTTCCCTTGTCTTATGGATTAGGTTCAAAATTACAAAGCTAATGAGTTGAACATTAGTAGTCGTAAACCCAAAATTGGTAGACTGTTCAACAGCGATTATAGAATAAAATATCAAATATCAGTAGGAGCTTTCCCAGGAAACAGTAGAGGGTGATGGTAAGAAGATTCTATAATATAAGAATTAGTAGGAATAATTTTGGGGCTCTTTTTATCCAGTGTTCTGCAGTGTTGGTCAATCTTAATTAACAAGCAACGTTTTTTTCGGGACTAAACTTTTACCTCAAAAGTAGTACGTTATCTGAAAAATATATTTTAAGCATAAGCAACCATTCTTCTCGAATATATGAGATGGTTAAATCATTTTATGAGTGCTAAGAGTATTGTCCTGCAACTACTTAAATGTGTTTTTTTTTTAAAATATTTTTATGGAGCCCGAGCCTTAGCTTTTTAAAGATCTACTTAATTGATTAAATTCATTTTATTGAAAAACGTTTGCGATTTCTGTAGCTATATCTCGAAATAGAATAATAAAAAACTTCGGTTTGAAAACTAGTTTAAATATAGCAGTTAAAAATAACTAATTCAAGTTCAGGCGACAATGGTATTTTTATAGATTTATTGAGTGAAAGAGGCTATTTTCGCGGAACCATTGCTAATTTTTTTTAATAAAATGCGCTCCACTATTTGCGAAATAAAGTAAGGCCAATTAAATTTTGCTTTTTTTTTTTAAACAATTCTTTTTTTTAATAGAAGAATCTTAAACAAAAACATTGACAAATATCTTATGTTATATAAAGATTAGTATAAAAGACTACGTTTTAGCATTTAAATGGAATCTACAAATTTAAATGGAATATTTACAAACTTTCTATTTGTAAAATGTTTCTCATTGCATTTTGAATTTATTTCATCCTACTCTCTGTACATTTTTCTGTATGCCTTTTTATTTTAGTGTTTTTAGGTTTCATTATTTTATTGCTTACAACTGCTAATTTTTAAATGAAAATTTAAAATTTTCTATTTGACACTATTAACACACAGTTAAATTAAAAAATAATTATTGAAATTGACTAGTTCAAGTTTGATTACTAGCTCTTATTAATTACTCCTGTGGTATTGCTTTCAATATTTTTCTATACAAAAATTGGCGGCAATTTTTTTATTAGATTCATTTTTAAGTTTTATGGTTAATATAAGAGTTAATATAATGGTTAATATAGGAGTGACGTCAGGAATGCTTAAGAATGACGTCATGTGGCAAGACTTAGTCCTACCATTCATAGTGTCTAGGCGATATTGGAAACCCAATCACGTAATTCGAATATATCGTATCTCTCAAACTGATAACTGCAGGTATATAAAGAGAGGGTCTCAGAAGTTAAGTAGAAGAGATAAACTATTTCAGACAAGCCGTATATTCTCATCGCATTCTTAGAATCCTCAACTTAACTGCACTCACCATGGTAAGTAGAATTCATTTCAATTTATGTATTATAATTTATGATATATAGGATTCAGTTTATGATGGCATATTTTTTTGCATTTTTGATGAGCTTTACTTTTTTTTTTAATTTTAAAAACAGTTTGTAATATTTTTAGAGAATTTTTTTTAATATTTCAAAACATTTCTTTTTTGCATTGTTGGTAAATTCTCAGGTATTCTCGTATAATTACAGCATTTAGTCATTTCTTGAATGAAATGTTTGAACATTTATTTTTTTCATATTAGTATTCTTTCATTGAAAGTAAAAGTCTGGTCAAATCTACCAGAATATGATAAAATTTTCCATTTTTCTTGCTCTATGAAAACGCCAAAACGATTGATAATTTTTACCGAATCGTTTTGGTAATAATTTTAGTAAAATTAACAACTAAATTTGGTTTTATACCATGAGAGAAAATTTGGTAAATGTATTAAAATATCGTTATTTTACCATGATACCTTAGAGTATGGCATAAAAATCCTATATTCGGTTAAATTTAGATTTTAGTTTAGTATATTTTACTAAATATGTGGTAATAACATATATAATTTTGAAAACTAGTATTTCCGGTAAACCATTACGTATAATCGGAAAAATTACCATAATGTAAAAAATTCAGCCTGAATTCTTCAATAAAACTTCAGGTATCTTCTTTGTAAGCCAGGTTTTTTTCATGTCACAAATTCGTCTATGTTTTTCTATTTATACAATTCCATTCTATTCTCTTTATTTATGTTCTGCAACCAATGTGAAACAGACAAAATGTTTTAAATATATATATTTTTTTGTGACCAAAATACGTACCCTAATCCTTAATGAGCCTTCGGCTATCTTTCTTGTTAGCCAATTTCTTTTATCTGACAAATTCTTCGATATTTTTCTATACATAAGTATCTTTTTCAAAAATCAAGCTTTACTTCACAAAAAAGTAATATTTTTTGCTTACTATAATCAAATAATTAATTTGATGATACTATAATTAAATAATTAATACGATGTATGAAGCGAATTCTAATAGAAAATGACCAGAGAAATTTACGTATCTTACTATTCACAAATTAATTACCTTATATAATTAAACATAAATATTTTTTGTGTGATTAGAGTTTTTCTATTAGGATATACAATACAGTGTTTCCCATTATGTTTTTTTCAACAAGATTTTCAATTAAGTTATCAAAAATTTAGAAAAGTGCATGAATATCTGAACAAATGACTAATCTAATTCAGACTAAAACTAATTCATAGCGTTTATCGATTTAACATAAAAGTCTCACCTTTTTATATTGGTCGTAAACTGTAAAATTTCAGATCAAATTCCGGTATAAAGTATCAGCATTTCGGATGCGTTATCCGTAAATACCATTTTTGTTTGTAATTTTTACAGAATTTATTTAATTAAAGTGATTAATTTTTTAGAGTAATTATTACAGTAAAAATATCGGCATAATTAGATTCTTTTTTCGTAACACGTTTCGGTAAAAGCAGATTTTGAGGTTAGAAGTACCTGCAACCTATTTTTTACCGTAATTTGATCAGGAATTTTTTGCAGTGTATATTTCTTCAGGAAGTCATTTAGGGTTACTATGGTTTCAAGATTTGTATTATTTTTAAAATGTTATTTCTGATCGTATATTTAAATTTTAAAAATATTGAAAAGTAAACACTTATTGATTACGCTTTTTATAAGTTAATTTAAATTTGATAAAAAAATCATACATTCGTGAACAAAACTTTAATTTTCCGTAATTAACGAAAATTAGGAATCGATAAATCTACAGGTTTTTTGCAATTCTTAAATCAGTTATAAAGTAAAGTTTGGTATTTAATAGATAAGATTATTGTTATCAAACGCATTATTTTTTAGAGTATATATTAAAATATGAAAAAGAATCGATTAAAGCTAATCGTTTTTAATAAAGATATTTAAACGTTAAGAATTATTTCATATTTTTGAAAATTCGGAGACAAACTTTTTGTTTCAATTTTTTCTCCAAAACCTTTAAAATCGAGGAATATTGGTATAAATTTTTTTCTAAATTTCTAATGAAGTTATTGTTTAAATTATTAATGACGCCCAAAATATAGCAATTTTTCTATGACTATAATTTTATTTCAATACATTTTGGAATATGATTTGGATTTTCATACCTAAAGATTTTTCACAATCCACTATTGTCTGTTTTGCTCTCACGGAAATGAATTTCAAAGTATTCTATGCTTTATATGAAGTTCTTTTCTTTCTACCCTTAAAATTATATCAGTTAAAAAAACCTTATAATTATATGGATAATATGTATTTTAAAATTTCAGTAATGTAGAGAAATTTAAAAAATTTTATATGGATATTTATTGTCATATTTATTAAATTCTAGAATATGCTGAAAAAAGAATTTAGAATATGTTGAAAAAGTATGCAAAATAGAGGATTTCTATTCTAATAAAATATTTTATAAGAGTCTTCATAAATTTTCTCTGCCTTATGATTATGTATAAGATTTTTTAAACCCACAAAAAATTTCTAAAACAAAATTTTAAAGTTTATATAATAAATTTTTTCTAAAACTGTCTTACAATATTCCGTTTTTAAACATATTTTTGCTAAATCTTCACATATTGAAATGTTTTACTAATAGGTTATTGTATAACATATATACCTATATTTTACTTTTTTATTAAATTAAATAAAAAAGCTCTTTTCCTAAAAAATATGAACATAATAGGTAACACGCCTTAGTATAAATACTTCGCGATACTGGTTTTCACATTTTGGTTGCACAAATTATAATTTGTGCATCCAAAAACTGACAATTTTGTAATAACCTTAGGTGCAAAACTGATTGTTGAGTATTAACCATATGTGTAGCATGCAAAAAATGTGTGCTATGATCCAAACACTAATGAAAAATTTTAGACAATTATTTTAAAAACAATATGAGATATCGTTTTTAAGGTGGTGAAAAATGTGAAAAAAGCCTTACTTTGATTCAAACAAACGCAATTAAAGACTTAAAATCATTAATCTATCCACTGTTATCACCTTGCACGAAAACTGTTATAACTTAGTAAATAATTAAAATACAAACAAAAGTAAAATATTTTTAGAAAGCTAAGAGTCAAGGATTATAAATAAAACAGAAAATTGACTTAACTCCTTGACGCAATAGATTTATTAAACGTATTTTTCATTAATGTCTATTAATTTAGGTCAAAATAAGGGAGAAATATTATATTTGGAATTTTGATTTGTGATTATGCTAAGCGACATAAAACACTGGTGTCTTTTTCCGTGTAAAAGGTAAAATCTTCCCAACATGACTTACTTCAGACAACAATTGTTCAAATTTGCACATATTTGCAGTTATTTATATCCATGAGAAACAGCAATTAATTATCGAAATTTCTTTAATTTACAAAATATCAATTATTGATAAAGTTTTGACTATGAATTGTGAAACTATGAATTTTCAAACTACTTATTTTATATTTTAGTCCATTCTGATAATCTAGCAAACTTTTTTAGTGACTATTAGACTGTATTTTATAGTTAAAAAAATGAGAAAAAGTATTTTTATTGGCATATATATAGCGCATTTATTAGAGCAAAATATTTCGAGCATTAAAAAAAGTACAGGAAAAGGAAGCCGATGTCCTATTTGCTTCAAAGGGTTAAGTAGTTAAAATTTCATGTACTTATTTTTTGTTTACTTACACTTTAATATTACTTCGTGAATAAGCTTTTCTCTTGATTAAAAATATATTTAGCGTACTTAGATATTTTGTTCATAATTCAATGATCCAGATTTCAGATGAATCAATTAATAATGGCAAATTGTGGTTCAAGTAAAAATATTCTTTGAATTCTAAGCATGGGTACATTTATTTTGACTGATTTAGATTCTTGACGATAAAATTAAAACTCATGTTCAAATTTTGAATGCAAAATATATATTCCAATTTATTGTTTTTGAAAAATATTTTAAAAGCATTCATGTTCTTATAAAATTTATGTTTAGATAAAAAATATTTTATAAATTGGTTAACAGGAAACCAAAATATCTCTGAAGCATAAAAATGTGTATACTTAGTGTGTAGTCATAACTGATTAAATTACTTAATAGAATAAGTGCTTTTAGCCGCTATAAAATGATTTCAAGATGTTTGCTAATGGTGAATATACATTGAGAAAAAGAAAGTACCTCCAAAACTACCAGAATAAAGTAAAATTTACCGTGATTTTAACTCTATGAGAAAATCAGATAGCTCGGTTAATTTTTACCGTACAGTATATATAATTAATATTATACATTATTTACATACCGTTTTTTCAAATGGCTTACATTCTGGTTTTTAGACCAGAATTCTGTTGTCACTAAAAAACTAAAAACTAATATTTATTTAACCGAAAAAAGGTTAAAAATAGGTAACATTGCTGAAATAATTGATTCATTCAAATGAATTGCTATAGCTGTCATCTTTAAATATTTTTTTTCAAACTCGATAATAATAAAAATAATTTCTAAAAACAAATATCCATTAAATTTTCTAAATGCTTTCATACTAAAATACTATTCAGTGATTTGTTCGACCTTTTACAGAAATCGCTCAACATATTACCAACCTCTAACAAAAAGGTTGTGGATTAAATAAAAGTAAGGTAAATCCTAGTTTAAATTTGCGAATTAGAATTAATGGTATCAATAGTTTAGTCAGGAAATTGATGAAAAACTTGAGTGTTTCAAAGTTATTTCTTAAATTTTTGAGTCTCGTGTTAAGTCCGGTATTCGTTAGGGAGCTAAAAAATTTTTGTGCCCGATTTTTAACTTTTAATCATAGTTATTTTAAAGAAACATTTTTCACATTTATTATTTATAACTTGCTTTAATGATCGAAAGAATTTTCCATGGTTAAATTTAAAATAAATGTGTTTAATAGTTTCGGAGAAATCACTATTAAAAAAGGACATTTAATAAATAGTCGCACTATTAAAATATTTTTGCCGCACATAAAGTAATAGACTATTTTATTTCAAGTTTAGGGTTTTTCCCTTTGCAAATATGGCTTAGTATGATACCAAATTATACATTCCTTTTGATTTGAAGCATATTCCATAACTTTTAAAATAAATAATAAAAACATTTACTAATTATTAAAAAATTTTCAGCATGATTTTTTTTTTGATAAAAAAGTTTAAAAATGGATGTAAAGATTGATTTATTTCCGTAATAAGTTCTGCGCGTATGCCCAAGACACAAAATGTTAAATTAACTTTAAGAAAGACCCAAATATTCTCTCACATTTTTTGACTGCTTTAATCACAGATCAAAAAGGAAACACAAAATTTAAATCCGTGGAGAATAGTTCTCAGAGGCAATTCATTAAAACCAGTAGGGGTACAAGTCTAATGATTCTTAAAAATTCAACTATACTTCTATTTCAGTCTTCTTATCTTACAATAGTTTGAAATTATAAATTTGTAAAAGAAACAAACATCTCTTCTAATGCACATTTTTTTTTCTTTCAGAAAATATCTTTCATTATTTCTTTCATTATATACTGGGTGATATTACTTGCAACTTCTTTAGCTGCCCCTGCACCATCAAGGTACGGTGGTCATCACGGCGGCGGTTATCATAAAGGAGGGCATCGTGGGGGTCATGGTGGCGGAGGATATAAAGGAGGCCATCATGGAGGAGGATACCATGGAGGTCATCATGGAGGTGGAGGGTATCACAAGGGACATGGTGGTCATCATGGAGGATATAAAGGAGGATATGGACATCATAGAGGATAATTGAAGCTCATAGAGCTGTGTTCAATTCGAACTATTTTTTTGTTTGTTTATCTGTAAATAAAATGTTTAATTTCCTTAAGAAAATTTATTTAGTAGAATTTCTTAATTTTATAATTTTTCTTACAACAACGTGGAATTATTGAAAATTATCATAAATGTTTTGCTTACTATATGATTTCCTCATCGCATTTTTTTTTACTTTAAAAATGCTAGAAAGCCATTAACATTAAAATTTTTTTAATAAGTATTTTTTCAGCAAAAAAAATATTTAAAATAGATTATTTGAGTATGCAATATTTATAGATTTATTTGCTTTAAAACGAAAAAAAAAGTATTGCGGCTTTTTCCATTTTAAACTATAATTACCTAAAACTAAATATAGTAAGTCAATGACGACTCAATTAAAAATTGCAGAGAGGAAAAAGTGTTCTCACAAATAAATTGGTGATATGTTTAAATTTAAATTAAGTTAATAGTTTATTTTGTTTGCTAGTACTTTAGAAAATTTTTACAATTTCATCAACATATCAAATTTTTTTAATATGAATATTTTATGGGATCACCTTGTTTTGCCTGATCAAAATCATTGTATATTTGAAAATTAAGGTTACTACCAGTATTTATGATTTGTGGAAAAAAATGACCTGCTTTCAAAATATGACGTTGAATGCTCTATTTAGGCTCTTTCAAAATAGTACGTATTTAGGCTCTTTCGGGGTAAAAAAATATTCATCAGTAAGAGTTAGCATTTTTTTAAAATATAAAAATCAAAATATAACTCATTTTCACACTTGATTCGGAGACAATGTTTGCCTATGATTTACTTTATTGTTAGTTAATTTTAATGTTTGTCCTAAGGTGTTTGAATTAGTATTTCACCTTTTAATTATAAATAAGTATAACTTACAAGTTATTATTTAAGTTTATAAGAATTGTACATAGCGAAATATTATCGAAATTGTTATACTATAGTAAAGCTAAATGAATGAGTTTCAGCTATAGTTTCCAAAATTAACAGTGTTAAAGACATACTTTATATTAGTGTTTCGTTGTCAAACAAAAGACACTTAACATCATCTTTTTTTCAAGAAAAAAGTAAATAAATAAAGATTTGAAAAAGGCTTTTCTTCTGTTAATCTCTTTCGAGTAACATGCTTAGCCTGAAAATCTTCTTAAACTTTTTCACAGGAGTTAGAGCAGCATAAAAAACCAAACAACATTTTCAAGAATGAGCAGTAAAGAATCTAAAAACAAAAATAGGTTTTTTCTTTACTTACTTTAGTTTGAAAATATATTTTTCTACACGTTTTTGTTCTGAACGATATCCATTCTTTCAATATGTTAGTAATGTTAACTTAAAACATATTATTTTCAATGATTTTTGAAAAGAAAAACAATTAAATCTTTTAGTTTTCTCTTTCCCTTTCAAATTGATAAAATTTTTAAAAGGAAAAAATTAATAAATTCATTTAAAAGACATTGTTTCGTGAAACATGAAGTATATAACTTCAAACTTGAGCTTAAGAGTATCAAGTTCGCATTTGATATCAATATTTTTGGGTTGAAAATTATTTTCTGTAGTATAAGAGTGTTTTTCAAAAATATGGCAACAATATTTATAAATAGAATTAATTTCAAAGGACTCGCGTGTTAGAAATATAACCAAAAAAAAAAAAAACATTACGTGTGCTTTATGTTAGTGCTGTGTAGTGTTATGCTAGTTTATGTCATCAATGAACTTTGTTAATTTTGGATTGAATAGGACTTCTCTAAATTTTTCTATAACATTTTTTAACCGCTTTCATTAAATTTCGAATCTTATTCGCCCATGTTTTCTAAAATGATATCGAGGAGAAAAAGATTATAAGAAATTTGTAAAACGTCTCTTATAATAGAGACGTCTCTTATAACTTTGAACATTACGTATTTGAACTATTTTTTTGAAAATCTATTTTCTGACGTAAATGGGTATTTCATTTTAATAGTCCCATAACTGACCAGGTCTTTTATGCGTTTCGGGCTTCATAATAAATTTTTAAAAATTTTCTGCAAATATTCTGGACACAACTCGAAATGCGTGATATGAACAGCTCGAAATGCGCTTTTAAGAAAACACACGCTCCTTGAAAAGCGTGTTTAAGAAAATAGACACTGCTCCAAATGCGTTTTAGAGATAATAGATACTGCTCGAAATGCGTGTTTAAAAAATGGGCATAGCAAGAAATACGTGTTTAATAAAAAGCCTCTACTTCATATGCGCAATATATAAAATAGACACTGCTCAAAATGCATATTTTAGAAATTATTCACTACGCGAAATGTGTGATTAGGAAAATTGACTAATTTCCAAATGAGTTTAAAGGTCAATTTATTTTAAAAATTTAAGTAAGTAGACATTACTCGAAATGAATGTTGAAAAAATGGAATCTATTGTGACAAAAATGTGATTAAGAAAATGGTCATAACTTGAATTGCGAGTTTAAGAAACTAGACAATGACTTAAATGCATTTTTAAGAAAATAGATTCCGAAAAGAAAAACGTCTTTCCAGCGTTTAACCCAAATTTAACAAATAAGCCAGAGATTTTACACTTTAAAAAATCTAATCATAATCATTGCGGGGCAGATTACTGTACTTCATGGTTAGGAAAACTGCATGAAATACAAATGCATCTTATATATTATCTAATTAAAATCTAATCAAATTATTATCTAATTGCAAATGCAGCTGCATGAATTAGAAATGGGAAAGCAGCATGAAATTCATGCATCTCTTCATATTCAGTTCCTAAAATGATAGACTAGCTTAAAAAAATCTAATTTAAAAAAAATGACAATTTTATGCCATTATTATAAATTTATTGAACCCTTGTTTGCTTTGTAAATAAAACAGTTGAATTTTAATGTCCTTTCAAAAAGTACTAATTTTAAAAAATTACTGCGCGATTTAGACAAATAGGCATATATATAAACGGATTTATACGGATTCATTAGATTATTCTCTGAAACTTAAAATTTTTTGAGAAAAGTTAGAAAAACGAATCAAAATGCTATGTTAATTTTCTTGAATGGTGATGTATATTTTCTTAAACTGCCATTTCGAGCTGTGTTTATTTTCCTGAAGATTTATTTTTCTGATTTCTTTTGAGTTGTGGCCACTTTCTTAAACACGCAGTTTGAGCTATGTCCGGAATAAAAAGCACACCGAAGACACTTAAAGACCGGGGTTACTTACTTTTCTAGAAAAGCATCTTCGAAAGTAAAGGAAATATTCGTCACACTCCCAATTTCTCCAAAATAAAAAAACATACTAAAAAAAAAGCTGATCTTAATGTTTTTTATGGTTATTTGTACAATTTACTATTTGTTTTTTTGTTAAAATTGTAATCTTATATACTGAAATTTATTAATTTAATTTAAAAAACAAAACTTTTTATGTTGCACATTTATTTCGTTAAAAATTACATTACAGTTTAGAAAACTTGCAAATTATTTTTAAAGTAGTAAACTTAAATTTTGCTTGGAGGTTAGTGTAGATGAATCCAGCACAATTTTAATGATGATGTCCGTGATGATGATGATGACCCTCATGATGGTGATGACCATGGTGGTGATCATGCCCGTGATGATGATCATGGTGATGATCATGATGATGTCCATGGTGATGATGGTGTCCATGATGGTGATCATGCCCATGATGGTGCCCATGATGATGGTGAGGTTTCGGTTCTGGATTGCACATTGCATCAGATATGAGTAAGAAAATGCAAATCGTGGAAATCAAGAGCAACGCAGTTTTCTGTAGGAAAAGTTCATTAATTATTCACCTATTAGTATCTTACAGATATTGTTCCTTAAAATTCGAAAGATCCGTCTCTGAATAGATTTTATTTAGTAGAAACCATTAGTATGCAGAAGACTATTGAAAAAAATCATTGCGACAATTTTGAACAATTACCGCTTCTATTTTTTTCCTATTTACGAATTTCAATAATTAAAAAATATAATTATGTTCGAAGTTAACAGTTCTTTTTTAAAAAACTGTTTTTTTTCAAAAAGAAAAGAAAATTGAAGTTGAAATATTCCAAAAAATATTAATAGAATTTTTATAATTTAAAAATTACATGGTCAGTTTAGACTCCTTTATAAAATTGATTTTAGTAGAAGACAAATAAGCTATACAAATAATAATTTATGTTTCGTGGATTGCTTTACTACGGCTTTCTAACAAAATGATTGATTTCGTTTAAATCCTCATAATTCTGTTAACCTTAGCAAGTTTTTTCCAAATTTTTTGAATCCTAAATTACTTCTTAAATATGTTTTAAATCAATGTAACGGAACTGATACATATTGTTATGTAATGGCTAAAGAAACATGAAGTACAGCAAAATATGTTCATCCATTGGCGGTCAGTAAGGATCTAGTGAAATATTGAATCGTATGGGCTTATAAAGAGTGCAATATAGTATCTAGGATGCATAAAAATATTACAATTGTTGTAGGTGGGCCGGGATAGCCTGGTCGGTAGGGAGCTGGGCTCATGTCCAAGAGTTCGTGAGTTCGATCCCCTACCCGAGACTCCCCGTGTAAGAAATGGTGACTGATACACGGTAAATCTGTCGAGTCGCAAAGTCCTCCATGTTCCCTTAACAAACCAATTCCTCTGGGGGTACTGATCCAGGAGTTTCCTTGTCTTCTGGATTGGTTCAAAATTGCAAGGCTACGTAGTTGAACATTAGTAGTCGTAAACCCAAACGTTGGGTCTGCTGTTCAACGGCGGATATAAAAATTAAATTGTTGTAGGGGAGAATCGTTGCGACTCAGATTATAGTGCGTTCGCCTTCCAATAAGGTAAACCCGGTTCAAATCGCAGCGATGGCTAGTCGATAGCAATTCCGCACCTGGCCACGTGGTATCGTAAAATATCATCAGTGAGAAATTCAGGGATCAGAATCACCTCGCCATCAGGCTAACCGTGGTAGGTTTTCCTGGGTTTCTTCCCCATGTACCGAAATTGAGCGCTAGTTCCGTCAAAAAATCCTCCACGAAGGTAAAATTTCTCCCAATACTTGATTGAGGAGT